TCAAAGGCTGGAACGGCTTGTCTGAGCTTGTGGAGAGGTTTTACAACCTCTGGAAGTCTCCTGTACTCCAAGAAATCCCTAGGTGGGGATTAATCCACCTACGCTGATACACAAGAGCAGTCGGTCTGCTCTCCATTTGTAAGTACGATTTCATTTATTCATATTGAGACTATTATACAGTGAGCACTATCGGCTGTCTCTCTTTTTCTTTCTGAGAGTTGGACACCAGTGACGGAGAGGTACCCACCACATATACCATAAGCGGGGATTATACCGCTGTGCGCGCTTTTTTTCCCCTAGAGCTGGACATAAGCTCTTTTAAATGTGAGTTCTCTACCATTATCTTCTATCACGTCCATATTAGAACTATACATACTGCACTATTGGTTGTCCTTCTCTTTTTGTCTTCCATATAAGTGGAACCACTACAGTTTATGAAGACTTCACCACTGCACTATTTGTTTTAAAGACCACTCGCAAGGACACATAAGTTGGACTTTCTTTTAATTTTGAACTTAAATATATTATTTTATTATTCTGTGGCGCAGCCTTTTTTATTATTGTTTTTTATTTTATGCAAAAGGATAGTCAAAGCAAGCCAAGGTCAAAGGGGAATAGAGAGACGGAATACAAAGAGACAAGCCGAGGTCAAAGGGAAATAGAGAGATGGAATACAAAGAGACAAGCCGAGGTCAGGGAGCAGTGGCGGCTCTAGACTTGGCGAGGCCTTAGGCGAAACTCATACATGAGGCCCCCACTAACACCATTATTGGAAAAAAACAGCAGTTGACTTGTGTGTGTATAAGAAGCTGTAGATATATTGAAGGGCGGGCTTGCAGTACTGGATATAGAGAACAAGTCTTTGTATACGTCGTTGCATTGTCTACCTGTGTGTGCCTGAGAGTGTGTGTCTGGCAGTGAGTATCTTTGTATGCATGTTTCTCTGAGCATGTGTATGTTTGTGTTACTGCCTGTGGCCTTTGGCATTAAGTTCATGGCGAAGCTATGTTTTATGACAGTGTGTAGAATTATTGCCTTCAGGGGGTGACAGGGTGAGTAAAGGAGTAACTGTGGCAGGGTGATTGTAAAAAGAGCAGGAGGGTGCCAGAGTGCGGAGAGTGGTGCCCGTGTGTTTAGAGGGAGAGATAGAGTGTGTGTGGGGGTGACATAGTGTGGGGGGTGACAGAGTAAGAAGGGGGTGACAGTGTGAGAGGGTTACATTAGTGTAAGGGGTGTGACAGAGTAAGAGGGGGGTGACATTCGTGTAAGGGGTGTAACAGAGTAAGAGGGAAGAGACAGAGGGGGGAGACCTAGTGTGAGGGAGGGTGACATAGTGTGAGAGGGGGTGACAGTATTAGGGGGTGACAGTGTGAGGTGGGGTGATGGTGTGTGGGGAGTGACAGGGTGGGGATACAAAGGGTGGGTGACACAGTAAGAGGTGGGGTGATAGAGTGAGGGGGTGACAGGTGAGGTAGCAGGGTGAGAGG